TAAGGGGCTGGAGGCTAAACTGCATAAAGAACGGTTGTGAGAACTGGATACGCCTCTAACAAAGAGAAAGACTAAGGGTGACATGGTAGCAGTCTTCAAGTACTTGAGGGGTTGTCACAAAGAAGAGAGAATCCATTTATTCTCCAAAGCAGAGCTCTCCAACCTTGGCCACTTTAGCAGGGGTGGGATTCAAATTTTTAACAACCGGTTCTATGGGCGTAGCTTAGGTGGTGGGCGTGGCTTGGTGGTCATGTGACTGGGTGGACATGGCTTGGTGGTCATGTTATTGGCTGGGTGTGGCCAACTCAATATCACTCATATCGAGGCACGCATCTCCTCGCCTGGCCTTTCCTGACTGTGGGGATGCCGCAACAGTCGTAAGTGTGAAAAATGGTCATAAGTCACTTTTTTCAGTGCTATTGTAACTTTGAATGGTCACTCCACACAAGCAAAGTACCAGCAAAGGAGGGGGAAAAAACTCCAGAGAAGTTCCTGAGACAGGAAGTCTAGTCCTGCCAAGAATGTAATAAGGGTTAACGGAGAGGCAGTTTCTGTAAGCAACACCAGAATGTTTCCTTCCTGCCTTCCTTACAGGATTAGGCCAGTAATTTCTTCTAACAACTGGTTCTCCAAACTGCTGAGAATGTTAACAACCAGTTCTAGCGAATAGGTGCGAACTGGTAGAATTCCACCCCGACTTTAAGCCTTTGCTGGCTGGGGAATTCTGGGAGTTGAAGTCCTCCAGGCTTAAAGTGGCCTAGGTTGGAGACCCCTGGGTTATAAGATGGGTGGCTTTATAAAGAAATAAACAAACAAACAAACAAACAAATAGAGGGCTTCTCTTGCTGAGCATCCCAGTTCAACCAGTTTTGGCAAAGTCAGAACCATCAACCCAGGGGGGAGAAGTTGCCCTCGAAAGCTGAGGGAGCTTCATCACTTTGAGACCTTCAAAAAGAGACTGGGCTGCCCTCTGTCAGAAATGGTGTAGGGTCTTCCGCTTGGGCTAGTCCAGGGGTCTCCAACCTTGGCCACTTTAAGACTTGTGGACTTCCAACTCCCAGCAGAGCTGGCTGGAGAATTCTGGGAGTTGAAGTCCACAAGTCTTAAAGTGGCCAAGGTTGGAGACCCCTGGACTAGAGGATCTACAAGGTCCCTTGCAACTCTGATTATCTGTTCTCTGTGTAGCCAGCCTGGAGTAGCTGACCTTGGAGGAGGAGGGGGGGGGCGGGGCGCGCGTCCCAGCCAGCTTATGAATGAAATCCCCGCGCGGGCCGGGCGGGGCTTGTCGGGCGCGCCTCTTACGCCGGAGCATCTGGGTCCACCTGGGAGGAGCGGGCGGGCGGGGGGCGAGCAAGGCGCCCAGGTTTGTTATTCTGATCACGGGCGCCGCTGATTCACAGCCTCGGAGCCGGTCATGAATCGTAGCGGAGCCTTTTGACGTCAGAGGGGAGATTTATCAGCAGCCCCGAAGGGCGACGGAGGTTTAGAGCTGCCAGCCATCCGCCCGCCTGGCCGGCCATGCTCGCCCAGAGGGAAGGACGCGCCGGGGCCGCCCCGGACTGAACCAGCCGGGCGAGGAGGAGCAAAAGCCGGGCGCGAGAGGGACCGACGCCCTGCAACGCCAGGTAAGCAAGGGGCCCGTCGCCAGAGCCCTCCCACCCCAAGGAGCCCTTCCAAGCGGCCGGCCCGGGCCAGGCTGCCGTCCCTGCAAAAGCGCAGCCGGGCGGCGGAGGGGCATCTCCCCTGCGCGCCGGCGGACGGAGAGCCCTTGCCCGCTCCGCTGGGGGAGATGGGCCAGTGGGTGGAGGGGGAGAGGGGGGGGCCCGGGGAGAGGGGGCTACCCCACCAGCACCAGCCCAGCCCAAGCCGCCTCAACCCCCCCCCCCCCCAGCGCTGTTCTCCGCCCGTGTGCAGGGTCTCGCGCGAACCTCCTGGTCCCGGGCCGTCCCGCTGGCGGAGAACCAGCTGCGAGAGACTTCTCGGCTCTTTCCGGATCGCGTGGAGTGGGGGTGGGGCGGTAAAGACCCTGAAATGGGGCGAGCAGGTCGTCCTTGCCCGGACGGAGAAGCAGCAGCAGCGCGTCTCCTTCCGAGTGGCTGGGAGGGACTGAGCAGATTCAGAGGTGGAAGGGAGCTTGGAGGTCATCTAGTCCAACCCCACCCACCACCCACCCCGCCCTACACCATTTCTGACAAATGGTAGTCCCGTTTCTTCTTGAAAGCCTCAACCCCGGGGATGGGCGAGGGAGGCTGGCCTAACCAGGAAACCTGGTTTCCAAGGGCTTTGTTTCAGCAGCTGAGATTCAGCCGGGGTAGGCGGCGCCAGAGCCGCAGTTGTGGGGCAGACGCGGCGCTTTCCGTGCTGGAGAGACGAAGGAGGGACGAGGGAAACCCGCTCCTTTGTCGCCCCCTCTGGCCGCCGCTGTCGCCGGAGGGAGGGCGGGCTCTGGGAAGAGGGGCGCGATGGTGGAGGAAGCGCTCTCCAGCCCCCGGGAAGCACCAGCTTCAGGTGCAAGAAATGGGACCCACGATTCAAGCTCCGAACTCGGGAGAAAGCAAGCGAGGCGATCCTGGCAGTTAGGAGAGGCTTTGCCTACTATCCTTTGGCTGCAGCTCAAAAGGGAGCTGGGGATGACGTCACGGCCTCTGCATGGCGGGGGGGGGGAATACCTGCTTCCCCCCCACCAACGTTGCACTACATATCCCCTCCTCCTCGGCGGCAGACACGTAGTGACCCAAGACTTCTTGGGGGCGGAAGGAAGAGGACGAGAAAAATTTACCTGCTGGTGAAGGAAAAGGGAGCGGACTTCCCCCTCCGGGACCTGGAAGGCAAAAGGTCCAAGGGAAGGGGCTGCAGTGTGTAGGGGACGGGGTTTAACAGAAGAACAGAGTTGGAGGGGACCCTGGAGGTCTTCTAGTCCAACCCCTGCTCAAGGAGGCGGCTTCGGCCTGGCATGGCGGGGGATTTCCGTCCCGGGGACGAAGCGCAGAGCGCCAGGCGTTTAGGCTGCCCCCCTGCCCTTCTCCCTCTGACTCTCCGGCCTTCTTCCTCCCGCAGCCATGTTCCCCTACCCGGCCGCCGCCATGGAGGAGCAGTTCCACCAGCAGCAGCAACAGCAACAGCAGCGGCTCCGGGTGCTCTTCAACGCCTCCTCGCTGCCTCTGGCCAGCAGCCTCTGGCCGCCCACCCACCTGGCCGCCGCGGGGAGCCCCGCCGTGGACCTGTCGCCCGCCGCCACCGCGGCCGGAGAGGAGGGCGGCGGCGCCGCCGGGGGGGAGGCGGTGAGCCCCTGGGACATCGCGCTCTGCGCCACCGGGACGGTGCTGGCCGGCGAGAACGCGCTGGTGCTGGCCGTGCTCTTCTACGCGCCGGGCCTGCGAGCGCCGCCCTTCCTGCTGATCGGCAGCCTGGCGCTGGCGGACCTGCTGGCCGGGCTGGGCCTGGTGGTCAACTTCGGCGTGCGGTACCTGCTGCAGCCGCCCAGCGAGGCGGCCACCCTGAGCGCGGCGGGGCTGCTGGTGGCCGCCTTCTCGGCCTCGCTCTGCAGCCTGCTGGCCATCACCGTGGACCGCTACCTGTCGCTCTCCAACGCGCTCACCTACCACTCGGAGCGCACGCGGAACTTCGCCGCCGCCGCCCTCCTGCTGCTCTGGCTGGCCTGCGTGGCCGTCGGGCTCCTGCCGCTGCTGGGCTGGAACTGCCTGCGCCAACCCGGCGCCTGCAGCGTCCTGCGCCCGCTCACCCGGGACAACGTGGCCGTGCTAGCCGTGGCCTTCCTGCTCCTCTTCGCCCTCATGCTCCAGCTCTACGGGCAGATCTGCCGCATCGCCTGCCGGCACGCGCAGCAGATCGCCGTGCAGCGCCAGTCGGCGGCCAGCGCGCAGGCCACGTCCACGCGCAGGGGCCTCTCCACGCTCTCGCTCATCCTGGGCACCTTCGCCCTCTGCTGGCTGCCCCTCGCCATCTACGCCCTGGTGGCCGACGCCTCCTACCCGGCCGTCTACACCTACTCCCTGGCCCTGCCGGCCGCCTGCCACTCGCTCCTCAACCCCGTCGTCTACGCCTTCCGCAACCCCGAGATCCAGAAGTCCCTGGCTTGCTGCGGCTGCATCCCGGCCGGCTTCTCCCCGCGACCCAGGACGCCCAGCGATGTGTAAGAGGTGGGCTGGGCCGGAGGCCGCTGGAAGCCAAGCCGCCCCCGCCCCTGCCCTCCTCCCCCCGCGTTTCCTTCTGGATTCTCCGCGGGAGGAGAAAGAGGAAACCCCGCGCAGAAAACACGCAGCAGCCGATTTTTCTGGGGGACGAAAGCTGGAGGGGGGGGGGAAGCAATTCCAGAGGGATCTTTTCTTATATCTGAGTTTGCTAAAACGGAGGCAAGAGGCGTCCAAGCTTTGGGGGGTCCGTGCCAAAAGAGAAGGCAGCGATCCACGGGGAAGCAATTGCAAAAAGAGGGGGCCTTTGCCCTTAAGGCAGGGGTCCCCGAACTTGGCCACTTTAAGACTTGTGGACTTCAACTTCCAGAATTCTCCAGCCAGCTCTTAAAGTTCTGCTGGCTGGACAAGTCTTAAAAGTGGCCAAGTTTGGGGACCCCTGCCTTCAGGCCTTCTTTCCTTGATTCATACTAAAGTCCCTTCGCGTTTAAGTGTAAAACCTGGGTCTCGGGAGTGGGCAGGTCTGAATGGATCCTGGTTTGATTTTTTGTTTTGTTTTAGTGGCATTTTATTGGCGGGAGAAGGAGGGATGGTGAACAGTTTTTGTGAGATCAGCCTTCTTCAGGTTTGGGGAATTGAGGGGAAGAAAGCAATAATGGTGGGAGCAGGATGGGTGGTGGTTTGGGTCTCCTTGCCCGTCTTTCAAAGAAGTCCAGGTTTAGGGGCCGGGGATGTGTGGTTTGTGGGTGGAAAGGCAGCCCAAGCAGCGGATCAGCTGCGTCGCTCCGACTTGAACTGGAATGTAAGCGTTTAAACCAGGAGTCTCCAACCTTGGCCCCTTTAAGACTGGTGGACTTCAACTCCCAGAGTTCCTCAGCCAGCACAAGTCTTACAAGGTTGGAGACCCCTGACCATTCCATTCTGGTTGTCGTGTCCGTCGAGAAAGGAAGCTCGGAGTCAGTGACTTGGTTTCAGCTCTTTATTGACTCATGATACAGCTTGCAGCTTGAAGGGAAAAACTGCGGCTTTTTATTCTCGAGCCGCGGCGGTCGCGGCCAATGACACCGCTTCGAATCTCCCGCGATTAGTTTCCACCAATCGCGGGGGATTCGCAGCGGACCAATCAGTGCGGCTCGCTCGACCAATCCGGTAGCCGCGCGCCTTAACCAATCGCGACGCGGGGCTACGAGTATGTAAATTGACTTGTACAGAACACTGGTCGAGCAAGAAACTCCAGATTAGGAGTCTCCAACCTTGGCCCCTTTAAGACTGGTGGACTTCAACTCCCAGCTGGCGGAGGAATTCTGGGAATTGCAGTCCATAAGTCTTACAGTGGCCAAGGTTGGAGATCCCTGATACCATTCCAGACAAATGGCTGTCCAGCCTTCTAAAAAACTTCAGTGATTATTCTCACTGGACTTTAACTCAGTTTTGGAAATATGTTTAATTTAATTTAGTTTAATGATTTGAATTGGATTTTCAAACCAATGGAGAAAAAGTACGTTTGTTTCAGGCTCAAAATAGCCACTGGATCTCCAAATTG